AATTGCAGATAAAACATAGTCAAATATACAAGATAAACATTTCATTTTAAATATAAAAAATCTAAGATATAATTAGGATAATCATTGAGTTCTAACAGAATACTTAATTATTATCCTTATAAAAATAGAAGGGTACTCGCGCAATGCAGCGAGATACATCTTGATTTTAATATTTCATTTTATTCTTTATCTCAGTTGATGTTATAATATGGTCTTATGTGATTTTGAAAAGGCGTTGATGTTTTTATTTTTGAATAAAATATAAATTTGAAGATATCATAAAATTTTGACAAAAATATATCAATATTAGTATCAAATTAACTATTTAAAATTCTTATTTTTGTGTAATTTTTAATTCAATTTTTATATTATAATTTAATTTATGTTCAATAACGAAGTAATTTATATTTGGTTTAATAATATAGTTTTCTTATAAAGATAATAATTAATTATTTTGTTAGAACTCGATAATTATCCTAATTATATTTTAGATTTTTTATATTGTAAAATGAGATGTTTATCCTCTATTTGATTATGTTTATCCGCAGTTAGTTACACGAATTCAAACATGGAGCTTTAATAACTTGTACTTATGCATAATTTACTTGTAATCTTGAATTTTAAATAATATGCATCAATATACAGTACTTCATGCATAAAAAATGGTTTTTAAGAGTTTTTGTCAAATGCTTTATAATATAGTATAGATTATATTATTAAATCAAAAATAAATTACTTCATTATTAAATTTATATTAAATTATAATAAAAAATTGAATTAAAGAAATTACATAAAACAAGAACTTTTAAATAGTTAATTTGATACCAATATTGATTAATTTATTTTCGAAATTTTATTATATTTTCAAATTTATATTTTATTCAAAAATAAAAACATTAGCCCTTTCTCAAAACCACATAAAAATCGTATTATAACATCTACAGTGACAGAATAAAACAAAACACTAAAATCGAGATATATCTCGCTGCATTGCGCGAGTACCCTTCTGGTATTATTTCAAACTCTCCTTTAGCTTTTATCGAAGGAAATGAAAGACAGGATGAGGGATCAAATCGTTACAAACCTACACAATTTATATTTTCCTCCTGTAATAATAGAAGTTTAAGAACCAGTTTTGTATAAACCACCAAACCAGCAACGGACATATGAAGACTCTAGCGAGTCCCGTTCATCCATTCAACCGATTTTCGCAAGTAGAACTTTTGGCGTATAAAATGTGCACACGCTAAACTTTGAGAGAAGCTCTGTGATATTAGAAAATACAAGGGATATCAACCAAAAAAGACCCGAAAAAAATCTCGAAATCAACAAAGAATCTTAATAAAAACCTTTGAAAATAACAGGATTCGGCTAAAAATACATCGGACAACTTTACTTTACAGACTTTTGATCCACCTTAAAATTACAACCGATCGACAAAAATTCTGGATCCACCCCTGCAAACAAACCACAGGAACCGAATTTATAATTAACTCTTTGATATTTTATATTTGAACACTAAGGGGCTGTTTACCTAAATGCTTACCCGGTAAGTGCTTACTGTTATGAGTCAACACTATAATTTATTTTATTGGATAAGGTTGTAGTACATCAAAACGTATTCCATGCAACAATTTTTCTGGTAAGCGATTACCCGGGTAAGAGTCGTCACCCTCACTTACCGTGTAAGACTCTCCATCCTTATTATCGTTCTTACCAAGTAAGATTCTTGGCCCTTGCCATGTTCATCGGGTGAGAAAAATTACCTAATAAGTACTTACCAGATAAGCATTTAGTAAACAGCCCCTTAGTTTGTAAATATAATTTGTGAAAATGATTATCAAATAAGTGAATATTAAAAGGGAAAAAAATAAAGGAATCCGAGCACTCAGGGGACCGGGTTTTGCCGTAACCATGCATTCCAACGGTACACTAGGACCAGTGCCTAAGACACAACCTAGCTTGACCAATTATTGCATAATATTTATATAATAAAAATGTCTTAAAAAAATCAATGGACTTTAATATTTAGAATGATTAAGTTTTTAGACAATTTTTTAGAACAAATAAGTCGTTGGATATTTCAAAATATGTTAAATAACTTCTTGAACTTTCTAAAGCATGTTAGATACATTCTTATGACTTATAAAACTGTTTAATATGGTAAAATAATGAAGAAAGTCTGAAAAAAAACCCAATGGACTTTAATATTTTGAACGATTAAGTCTCTAAACTTTTTTTAAACCAAAAAAATACTTAGGGGCTGTTTGGCAATTGCTGAATGGTTTGATGCAGAATGATTAAGAGACTCTCATGATATAGTGCAAAATGAAATATAATTGTTTGGTAATTGTGTACAAATGAAATTATGGCTCTTAATGGTTAAGGGAGATCTATGGTACAAAATCATTTACAGGGTTTTATAACCATTAAGAGGCAGACTTTTATTTTGCCAAACAAGATTCACCTCTTAACGATTTAGAGGTTGCCTCTTAATGAAATTCTTAAGAGGTAAACGAACAACCTCTTACATCTATAAAATGAAACAAATAAACAAAAAAAATACTTATATTTAAAAAAAGATTAGTTTATTTTAATTAAAAATAAAAATTATTCTGTTAATGGTTTTTCAAATAAAAAAAATAAAAAATAATTAAAAAAAAAATTATTGATGAAATTTAATTTAATTAAAAACAAAATATATTCCGTTGATGATTTTTTAAATTTAAAAAATAGAAAATAATTTAATTAAATTATTAACGGATTAACGATGAAATTTAACTAAATATATAATTAATTAAAATTCGTCAGGTTTTAGATTTTCAGATTTCGAGACATTCGGGTTTTGCACAAACACCTTATTTTCAGTTCGGGTTCAGATTTCTGATTTTCTTAACGATGGTCATCTTGTATTTTTGAAAATATATTATGAAACAGACACAACACAAAAACCAAATTTATAGTTTACTCTAAAACAGATTAAACTTTCAAAACCACTGTAGAGAACATCAAAGGAGTGTTTCCTAACTGGCGGAGGAGTGCAACTGCTTTATCGTGTTATCCGACTTGTATGTGAAAAGCATTTCGTACTCGTAACTGATCCCTTCTTATGCAGTTAGCTCTATGGGTGCTCACGGCCCGGTTTGATTGGTTTGAAGCCGTTTTAACAACCCAACCCAATGTTGGCGGTTTGAAAATTTTCAACCCAACCCAACCCAGCCCAATCCGTTCGGGTTAATCGGTTTGTGTTTAAACAATGTAAAATCACATAAAAATAAAGAAAAATTTCCTTTGAAATACGACCGACCATTCAAGATAATATGCAAGTTCATCAAATATTTAGATATTACAATAAAAATGTTTAAACCAAATGATAATACATCAATCAACAACAATWATTTTAGACGTTTCCAACCCCGATGCTTTCGCTTTCTTGACGTTGAGGTTAGTCATGTCATGATTGTCATCTACAATTCAAAGCTAAAGTTAAGGTCGGGTTCATCGGGTTGGTCGGGTTTTTTTGGGCCTGACCCGATTCCAACCCAATAAGGTCGGGTTGGCTAATTTTTTTTATCGATCATGCATCGGGTTACCTCGGGTTGGGTTTTTTTTTAATTCGGGTTGGGTTGGTCGAGTTGGTCGGGTTCATCGGGTTTTTGAGCACCCCTAGTTAGCTCGACTCCAGGTATAGCTCTTAAAGGGCATGTAGCCGTAGGCGGGAACTCTTCTTTTTATCTTATTATTTGGTCAGGCAAGTCAACTGGTAATCCCAACCGAATAACGGAATAAAGCAATCAAAACCGCTACAAGCAACCTATTCTGATGAAATGGTTTTAAAGAATTTGGATTCCGTGGAACGATTTGAAATTGGAGGGATTTGGATTGAAAGAATTCTGGAATCTTTGGTGTGTTTGGTTTGTATATTTTGAAATGAAATTGAATTACATTTAAATAGTTAATAAAAACAAATTATAAATAATTATAAAAATAATTAAATTGCCATTTTATCAACAAAACAAGTGTTTTGAATAAGGATGCTGATTGACTTGGTGGGGAACCCGACTCACCCGACCCGAACGGGGATTCCCCGCTAAAACGAGTCCCGGGGCCGGGATCCCCGGTAGACTTAAACTAATAGAAATTCTTTATGGAGTTTGAGCGGGGACGAGATCTTAATCCTCGTACCCGCCGAGGACCGAGGCCGAGGCCGGGGCCGAGGGCTGTTACTAAAAACCGGGGCCGGGGCCAGGGATTACAAAACCCATCTCATCCCCGCCCCATTGCCATGCCTAGTTTTAAACGCATTTTTTTAACATTTTTACATACAAATTATATGAAATCCCGTAAAACATCAACCATTCCTGTAGGATTTCAAAATCCTATTGTTTACGAGATTTCAATGAAATTATTGTATTTCAGAAGAGAAAGAAGATAATCATCCAGGAAATCATTCCAACTAAAATATAAAACTTCGAAAATTTAACTGTTTTTACTCTGACAACTATGTTAAATAGACCAAAGGGTCTTTGGCCTAGCAGTATCATAGTCTTTGACTTCCTAAGAGGTCATGGGTTCAAACCTCACAAAAGGTAAGGAGAGCGTGTGAATTTATTTGTTGCATTTGCCGTATATAAATATCATATACTTAAAAAAAAGGGTAAATTGCATGAAAAAGTAACGTACTTTAACTTAATTCCTATTTTAGGTAACGTAGTTTCAAAACTTCCATTTTGGTACCTAAGATGTAAAGCTTTAAACATTTAAGTATCCGGGTAACCGATTGAAACATTAACCGGTTACCATGCTAATGTGACGAGTGATAAAATTAAATTAAATTAAATAACAAATAATACCAACTTAGATACCACATCACTCGTCACGTTAATCTGTTAATGCCTCAAGATGGTACCCGAATAGTTTAAAATTCAATAATAAAATTAAACCGATACATCATAAAAATATATAATTGTTTCCATTGAATTTATGTAATCGTGGAAAGGAATTCCATCTTCAATATTCGCATCTTTTGCTTTCACATCTCAGTTATCGTTTGATTGTTGTATTCATTTCTTTCTTCGTCTTCTTCATCAATCTTCCTCCATTTTCTTGTTCTACCAACTATTACCAATCACTGTTTTCCTTCTAAGGTACGTTATTTGGATCTCTGTTTCTGATTTCATCTCGTTTACTCTGGTGTTTTTAATCAGATTTTTGTAGGTCATGATTTGTTTCCGATTTTAATTTCATTATGTTGTTGATTGATTATTTCATGCCATCGAATGTTGATTAATCATGAAAATGAAGACAACATAGAGTTATTTTGATGCAAATTGTTGGTTTTTTGATCGTTATTTTCAAATTTCACCTCCTGTGTGGTGTAATTTGTGCAAATACTTGTTGTTCATGATTCCAGCTTGTGTGCAAGTAATTTGGGTGATTTTGTCTTGTTTGGATTTTATGCTACAAAAATCGAGGTTTTCAGAAGGTAAACCCTTTTCTTTTCCCCAATAGTTCATGGATATTGAACAAATGATTTGTCTCATGCATGCTATGAAAGTTGTAGTTGTTTTGGAGTCTAGATTATGCACATTTTTTATTATTTGGTATCTTAGGGGCCGTTTCCCAAATGCTTACCAGATAGGTGCTTACCCAGTAATAGAAATTACCCTCACTTACCTTATGATGTAACATTCTCGGCGGATGGGTTACTTTTTATTGGCTATATTATGGCAGGGTAATGTTTCACAGTTTGATGAATCGTCCACTTATTTGATGGGCTGGTTAAGCGATTATTTATGGTTAAACTCTTCACAACTTATTAAGGGATATAACCTGTTGGTATGAATAGTTTATCAGTCTGGGCATGGATGTTTTTATTTGGACATCTTGTTGGGGCTACCAGGCTACTGGATTTATGTTTTTAATTTCCTGGCATGGATATTGATCCCGGAAATCTTGTACTCAGAGTCATGGATAAAGTGGATTACCTGGCGACCGAGTGAATGACCCCCCGTTCTTTCTAGTGGCTTTTTCCCGTCCCTTTTGGGACCATTCACCCTTTCCCAACCAAGCATAGGTAGAAGCCCTCTTTCCCATACACAACGATGGTTCCAAGCAAGATGAATAGTTTATAGTCGACTCAATATCGGCGAAATCCCCCCATTTAATATCTTTAGTACCGATTATGCCATCAAAATGGATTGTTGGTGGGCGTCCTAAACCCGGTAAGCGCTTACCGGGTATGAGTCTTTTTCGTGACTTACCACATAAGACTCTCGGTCCATGTTATGCCTCTTAACGGGTAAGATTCTTAGTCCTTGTCATGCTCAATCGGTAAGGTAAGTGATATCGATAAGCACTTACCCGGTAAGCATTTAGTAAACGGCCCCTTACTAAAAGTTTTTGAGATTGCTTTTTTTTTTAATTGTAGAAAAGTTACAGAAATGAGGCTTCTTATAAGTGCTTTTGTTTACTTTTTACCTTTGTGTTGCAGTTCAAATAAGCCATTTATCACAATATCACTCTTGGGTGTGGTTCAAGAATCCTGTATATCTCGAATCTAAAAGCTGTTTATGGTATATGAAGTCAATGAATACATGGATAAGAAAGAACATATTGCGATATTTACCACCGCTAGCCTTCCATGGATGACCGGAACTGCCGTTAATCCTCTATTCCGTGCAGCGTATCTCGCCAAAGATGGACATAGAAAGGTTACTTTGGTCATTCCTTGGCTGTCAAAGAGCGATCAAGAATATCTATATCCCGACAAAATAACATTTAATTTGCCCAAGGAACAGGAGAAATATGTCCGCGAGTGGATTGAGCAAAGAACTGAGTTTTTGTCTAGTTTCAATATATGTTTTTATCCGGGGAAGGTAAATTACACTCGAGTTTTGCTTCTTCTTTCTTAATGAAAATTAAATTGTTCATAAAACTCATAAACTACATTCTTTTTTGTGTTTCAAGTTTTCTAGAAGTAAAAGAAGCATTCTTGCTCTTGGGGATATAACAGAGAGCATTCCGGATGAAGAATCAGATATTGCCGTCCTTGAGGAACCCGAGCATCTTACGTGGTATCACCATGGTAAAAGATGGAAGATTAAATTCCGTCTTGTTATAGGAATTGTTCATACAAACTATTTGGAGTACGTCAAAAGAGAGAAAAATGGACGTGCTTATGCCTTTCTTCTGAAGTACATGAATAATTGGGTGGTCGATATATATTGTCACAAGGTATGTTTTCTCAAAATCTAAAATTTTAATCGAAATATATATATGGTTGTTTAATGTTCTTGCGTAGATTGCTTTTGTAACTCACTTGTAATGTAGCAATGTTATATTTGATTATGATCATGGCCTTCAAACCGTTGATGCTTGATAGTACTTGCTTATCGTTACATGTTGTACACATGTTGATATCCAAGTGAGTCTCTACAAACCTTAGGTTGTGAATTTGAGCACCCATCTCGTGTGGGGTAATTTGTGCAAATATTTGTTACAAGAATGATAATTCCGTTTTTTGGAACTTGATGTTGTAAAGTGGGACTATTGCTCACGATTCCAGCCTCTTTGCTACTATTTTCGCCAACGGTTCACGAATGCTGAACAAATGATTCGTGCCTCATGCAGTGGTGGACCAAGGATTTTTGTCGAGCGGGTTCACCTTTAAGGTGGATCAAAGGCCCGCAAAGTTGTCAGATGTGTTTTTACCTGAATTTCGTGTTTCTAAGGATTTTTAAGTTTTTTGATTGATTTCAAGGGACTTTTCCTGTTTTTGGTTGATTTCTAGCAACTTTTTTGTTTCTTGGTTGACTTCGAGGAACTTTTTCAGTTGATTTCTAGAGACTTTCGGTTTTTTTGTTGATTTCAAGAGACTTCTTTGGTTGATTCAAGCGACTTTTTTCAGTCTTTTGGTTGATGTTCCTTGTATTTTTTAGTATCCCGGAGCACCCTTCAAAGTTTAGCGGATGCACCATTCATACCCCAAAAACATTATAACTACAAAAATAAGTTGAGCAGGTGCACAGGACCCCGCTTGGGATTAATATGTCCGCCCTGGTCTCATGCATGCTATGAAAGTTGTACAACTTTAGTGTTGGGATTTTATAGCCAAAACACGCAAGATCCCAAAATTCTAGGCCAAAAGTGTCTTCAACATAAAATCTATACTCTAAAACTATACAACTTTCATAGCATGCACGAGGCACAAATCATTTGTTGAACATTTGTGAATTCTTCGTGAAGAGAAAAGGCTTACCTTTTGAAGTCCCCATTTCTGTATTAGCATAAAATCCAAACACAGACAAAATCTTGTCCAAAACTTGTCTGCATGCCAGACACACCCTTAATTTTCTAGCAACATAGATGTCAGACTTTCACCAAACAGTGGAGGTACCATCCCTAGGATTCGAGGGATTTACTCCAATAACTCTGGGATTCTTTATTTACTCAATAAGTTCAATGATTGTTTCTTGTTAGATGCTTTTATGGTGTAGAAAGAAAAAGGGGGGGGGGGGGTGTTCACAAGCAGATTTAAGGAGGGAGGGGCTGCCCTACTACCGTTCTATCATGCCGACATAGTGGAATTTTTTAGGAGTCTTGGGGGCCGTTCGATTTGCGGAATTTGAAGGAATTTGATGGAATTGGAATGACAAATTCCTTTCACCAAATTCCAATTCCTTTGTTTGGTTCGCTTCTTGAAATGGATGGAATCCTTAAAATTCCACAAGTTAATGAATTCATCATTCCTTGGCATAAGTGAAGGAATTGAATTGAATTCCATCCCTTTGCATCCAATTTAACCAACACCGCCCACCCGTGCCTCCATTATGGCCATGCTACTATTGTCACTGTCACACCCCCACCCTATCCCCCCCACCACCCACCACCAATACCACTACTGTCATCATCACAGCTGTCACCCCCACCCTCGACCACCAATATCACCATGCCACTAATGGAGATTCCAATTCTTCTGAGAGATTCCGTTCTAATTCTTACCAACCAAACGTTTGGTCAATTTCCATCAAATTCCATTCCAGTTCCTTCAAAGTCAAATTCCTTTGAAGGATTCCAATTCCACCAAATTCCATTCTGCAAACCAAACACCCCCTTTAAAGGTGCACCCACATTAATTTGATGTGTACTCCTCTAAGTTAACAAAAAGTGGCTGCAGGGTACTGGTAGTGCCAGTGCATGTGGTATTACATACTACTAGTTTGAATCCCTTTGGGTCTCTTTCAACTTTTTGGTAACAACAGTAGGAAAGAAGGAAAATAAAAACCCCTTGTATGTCATATTTATTGAAACCGTACTTTTTATAATTAATATTTATTCTTTTTTATATTATGATAATTATTTTGTGACCCGCTTGGAAATTTTTCTGAATCCGCCTCTGCCGGGTATCCTCCATCAACTTTGCATAAATTCTGTAGTTACTTCATTAATTAACATATCAGAAACTTGTGGCAGGTGATACGGTTATCTGGTGCTACACAAGAACTCCCAAGATCCGTTATTTGCAATGTTCATGGCGTTAACCCTAAATTTCTGGAAATCGGGATGAAAAAGAGGGAAGAACAGAAACTCGGAAAACAGGCGTTTACAAAAGGTGCATACTTTATCGGGAAAATGGTGTGGAGCAAAGGCTACACGGAGTTGCTTAAACTTCTTCGTGATCACCAAACGGAACTCGATGGACTTGAGGTTGATTTATTTGGTACCGGTGAGGATTCTGCCGAGGTACAAGAAGCTGCGGAAAAGTTGAATTTAACCATCAGGGTTAATCCAGGACGCGATCACGCAGACCCTTTATTTCACGAGTAAGTTTAAGCTAAAACATATACCCCCTTGGTCCCAAATTAAAGGGCAAAATGCATCAAAATATAACAAAGTTTGGTTTAGTTCCAGTGCAACGAAAAATTCTTTTTCTCAATCAATGTAACAATATTTTGAAATTTCCTATTTTATGCTCATTTTGACCGGTAACCTGCTGATCTAGTAACATATGATGACGTGGATACCTGTTCACAAAAGGTTTACGGAAGAGTTTCAACGAAGTGGACGAAAAACTTGACATTCAAGTCATCAAATGTTCCATTGAATAGGAAAATTTGAACCTTTGTTACATTGATTTAGAAATTTTGAAACTTTGTTACATTGATTAAGAAAAAAAAAAGTTCTTCGTTACACTAAATAGGAACTAAATCGAACTTTGTTCATTTTGACCCAAAATAAACGTCTTTAATGAAACATAAACGGAGTTAGAAATGTGTAATTATTACACTTTTTAATCAACTTAAATGACAATCATACCCTTAATAATAGAGAGAGTAATGAATTTCTTCATCTCTTTTATGAAGGGTATAATTGGGAAGTAGATGCTTACTTTTGAGTGTCGCACTTATTTTGGACCCGAGTAAAATAGAAGGGTGTATTACTTGTTCTTCCCAAAAATGGAAATGTTGCAATTTTCATGAGAAATCTTGGATGGAAATTATTGGGTGCGTCGTTCTACTATGAGTTTATAGAGCTTTTCTCGGAACATATTACTTATATTGACTTCAAAATTCAAATTGTTGATTAAAAACTTGTACTCCTTGTTGTTCATGAAAATTGCAACCAACTATTTGTTGAATGTCTAAAACACCCTTCGAAAATGACAAAACGATGAGAATCTTGTGGGGCGAAATCAAAATCAAACAATTTGTTTTTACTCTACCCGTCCCAAAATAAATGCCCATGATAAAAAAAGGCACATAGTTTAAGAAAATATGTGATTACTACACTTTTTCATTAACTAAATGACAATTGTACCCTTGGTAATAAAGGAAGTAATGAACTTATCCGTCTCAATGTTAAGGGTAGATTTGGAATGTAGACACTTACTTTTTGAAAGTGGACACTTATTTTAGAACAAACTAAAATAGAAATGTGGACACTTATTCCGGGCAGGAATGAGTATAAAAATTGGCCAGATAGGCAATTGTAACTTCTTGAAAGATTTCTAAAAATAGAATGTAGCAGTTTTCATTGAACAAAGGTAGAATCATTTTTCTACTCCCTCCACCCCATAATAAGCGTTCACTTTCAAAAGTAATTACATCCTTTCCAATTTTACCCATAACAATGAGATGGAGAAATTCATTATTTTGTCGATTATTAAGGGTAAAATTGTCACACTACTACATGTAGGATCCTGTAGATTATATGTATGCAAGATTGCCAGATTTTGTTTCTTTAAACTTTCCAATTTTATCCTCGTCATAGTTACAAAGTGTTCCTGAATCCAAGCACCACAGATGTGGTCTGCACAACAACCGCCGAAGCTTTGGCAATGGGAAAAATCGTCATTTGTGCAGATCACGTCTCGAACGAGTTCTTCAAACAGTTTGCCAATTGCCGAACCTTCAAGGACGGAGAGAGTTTCGTTAATGTCACCCGCCAATCGTTGACCGAACAACCGGCCCCACTTACCAATTCACAAATGCACGAGCTTTCATGGGATGCTGCAACCTCAAGGTTTCTAAAAGCAGCCGAGCTCAACAAGGCTCCCGAGAAGAAACTAACAAAGTCGCATTCTAAGAGCTTTTTGTCATCATCATTGGGTTTTCAACGGAATCTCGAGGACGCATCTGCGTTTATGCATTTTTTCGGAACCGGATTCGTGAGTTCGGTGCCGAACGAACAACAATGTGAAGAGCTCGGGTTGAATGCCCCAAGTAAAAAACACGGATATCCACGTCCAAAACACGCATCTTGAAGTATTTATGATGAATATTCATAATGCATATCATGATGAATATTCATAATGAATATTGCAGAAATGCAACATTTATCATGAATATTCATAATGAATATGATGAATGTTTATAATGAATAGTGCAGATCGTTTGTCGTTTGTGTAGGTTTTGCTTTCGGATCGGTAACGACTCTGTTTTCGGTTTAGGTTTCGGTTTGACGTAGAATTGTTGTATCCTTAGTGATCTTGTTATTTATAAGTTATAATTCTTTGGTGACAAATGATAACTTGTATCAACTTATTCCTTTTTTGTCCTTTTGATGGTAGTGTTAGTTTTAGTCATCTTGGTTTATAATTTGGATCCTTAATGGGATTATTGGATTCAAACTCTTGGGTCATTCTGGTGTATATATAAACATTTTAAACTTGTATTATATTGCTTCTTTGGGCTCGTTTATCGAACGCTTAACGGATAAGTGTTTATCGACAAGAACCGTCACCTTTATCTTATCGGGTAACATTCTTGGCTAGTGATGGCCAAATTGGCCCGGCCCGCCCCGGGACACCGGAGGTCCGGGACCGGCCTGGGACCAGTAAGGACCGGTTATGGGACCGAAAACCGGTTGGGGTTTTTGGCAGTTTCGTTTCGTGGGACCGAGATCGGCTATGGATCGGCCCAGCCTGGCCTGAAAATTCAAGTAATTTTATAAATAAATGTATTTTCAAATAATTTTATTATGTACTTTTATAAGACAATGTAATTTTAATTATATTAAAACGCATTTTTAAAGTGTATTTGAGTGACCCAATTGTAAATTTTATAATGTACTAAAAATATATATAATTACAAAAATAAAAAAGAAAATCTTATTTTTTAATGCCGGGACTGGCGGCCACCTTGACCGGTCCTACCATTTTCGACCGGACCGGTTATGGCCGGTTATGAGAAAGCTTGGGACCGATTAGGCCTGGCCCGGGACCGGTTTTTGGTCATCACTATTCTCGGCTATTAATATAGATTGTTGGCAAGTGTCATAGGAAAAAGTTCGGTTTGTTATATCTGTTAAAATTTGTTAGAAAGCCCAAGGTCCATCAAATTGTACTGATATAAATAGTTTTGTTCTGTGTAAATTTCATTCAGATTTTGATAATAAGATTGAGTTTTTCTGTGTATTCTCTCTAATATTCTTCTTTCTTAACACGTTTCGACCATAACAACGTCTTTTTTTTTATATAGAGGGGGAGGCCCCTCCAATCAAGAGAAAAGAAAACCAAAAACGCTAAAAGCAACAGATTAGGCACGCGGGCGGGGGCGAACCACATCCACCAGAAAGAAACTGAGGCTCCCAAAAAGAAAAGAAAGAAAGAAAGAGGGAGAGAAGAGAGAGAAAGGCTAACCACTAGGGAAGGTTCCAGGCAATACGAGTCCGGACAACATTAGGGGAGGGCTAAGGGTCGGGCTAAGAAGCCTAGACCGGATATCATCATCAGTGATGGTCTTGACCACCATGCCATGGGATCTTCTCTTATTCTTGAAGATACGGTCATTTCTTTCCTTCCAGATGTGGTAGACGGTGCCAACAAGTGTCTCTTAAGTCTCACCCAGTATGTGGTAACCGGGTAAGAGATTTCTCCTTCGAATCTTTGTTTCGGAGTTGATAAATTATATGGCCTATGGTTTAATCAGTAGACGACTTCGAACACGAGATGAAGTCGTCGTCTTCGAAGTCGTCTAGTATCTCTCTCGCTAACACAACAGAGGAGATGTGGAAGTCGCCTATGGATTGCTTGACCGAATGTGTCGTTGATGTCGCTTGAAATAAGAACCAACTTTCGATACATAACATGCGACTTCAAAGTTGCTTTGGTAAGTCGCATATAGCGGAATATGGTTTTGTATCACAAATTTCAAAAACCCTTTTATCGTGGATAGCGGTTACACGTCTTTTAACTCTTTTATCGGGTACAAATGGATATCGGGAGAGACGAGTTTTTAAAAAAAACTTGAACGTATTCAAGATGCACAAATTCAACAAACGGTCTTACAAAGCGGTTTTTCGCATCGGACCTCAAAGCTAAACACGTAAAAACTAGAATTACAGCATTCACGACACCTTGCAGTTCCACCCCGATAAAGGGGTGGAACTACAAGATGACATAGGCTTTGAAATTAAATTAAGAAAACAAATTACAAATACGATGATCAAAGATCAAAGATCACAAACGCAAACACGTTTTGCGGCATCATCAATCACGACCCGATTGTCTCCATCCCCCAATGTTCCCGTCCGTTGGATCAAAACCTCGGCTTTTCTGAAACAATAAACGTAAAAAAAAAACGTTTAGTAGAGATTTACATGTTACGATCTGTACAAGAAACGAAACATGAACCTGGGCCGTAAAGTTGAGGCTGAGTCGGATCTCTCCGCAAAATGCATCATCCTTCATAACGTTATATGACGTCGCCGGGATCTCTCCATCTTGAAACAACGTATCCAACGAGATACTGAACACGTTCATAACGTTGCACATTTAACTCGGTATCGAAAACGTTTTATTTGCTTTTATAGGTGACGGAATCGAGCTATGCAACTTACCTCGCATGCCCAACAAAGTCGTCGGCAGTGCCGCTATCACTATCCATTATTTTGATCTTTAATTCCGCCGAATCTTTACTCGAAACATCGAACAAGAACGTCTCGTTCCATTCGGGGTTCGATCCTTTGCCTACGCAAACAATTTTCATACGATGTACAATAAATTATTAAAATAGCAGATAAACGATGAAAATACCTGCTGCGACACTGCTTTTCTTTTCTTGACTCCGGTACGATAAAATAACATACGGGTCCATGTTGCCTGCACCACGTACACCGAGTTATAAGAGGTGGTACAAATAGATCCGTAACAACCCATTCGTCAATAACCACTACAAGAAATCAGAGCATCAGGGATGGAAAAATCCTTTGGTGATTTCACCGACAGTAGCCTAGTCGGTTGGAAATCCGTCAGTAATCTTGACCGTCAGAAATCCGTTGGTAACTTGAGCTGTCGGAAAATCCGACGCCGAACGTACCGTCTGAAATCCGTCGCCACAATGGTCATGTTGGAAATTCCTCGGTAACGTAGGCTGTTTGAAATCCGTCGGTAAGAGCTCTTCGACCAAGATTTCACCGACAATGACCTTTTGACGAATTAGTGACGGAAATAAACGTTACCGACACTACAACAAAATTGGGTTTATAAGACACTAAACAATAAAATGTGCTATCTAAAAGCGTTGTAATAAGTTTATATGTCGTTTTTAGGTGTCTAGAACACTTCGGCCTAGTTTGTTTATCTTAAAGAAAAAGCTCTTCTCAACATTTTATGTCTGATTCGTTAAGAGACCGAGCTATTCAGACTGTTTGTTTTTTCCAATATTTCAGAGATACTTATGTCTTATTGTCTTTTTATCTGGTAAGAGGTAAACCAACCTCTTAATTGCCTTTTCTTGTTATTCAGACACTCATCAACGGTGTTTCTTAATCGATTAACCGTAATTGATCATTTCTCTCAATCGACCCTTACCAAATCGAGCGTCAACTCTCTCAATTGGTGTATTTTAATAGGATTTAAATGTGCTAAATACATATTTTCGTTTAAATGAATGCTAATTATATAATTTAGATGTAAATTTCGTAATGATAATGAATAAATATGTGAAATTGTATACATTTATCAATAAATTCAACACTGTAATTTTCTAACGGGTAAAATAGACTATTTAAACAAATTCAAACATTTATCAGTTTTCAAAACAAACAATCTTATTGATTCAGATTTCAGACGTCAACACCATCTCTTATCAATCAGAACTGAAATAAGACTTCAGACTTCAACACCTCTTAAAAACAAACGTCACATTCTCATTTTTTACAGGACCCTTATTTTTATAAAATAGCTAATATGACAACTTTATTTTAAAAATGTTCTAAAAAGCTTTTTTAAGGCGCCCAAAAGCGTTCTATACATTTATTGCATCACTCTTAGATAAAACGCTGTATCGTTTGATAAGATAGTGTATTGATACACGTAGACATCTTTGGTGTCTCATAAACCCAATTTTGATGTAGCGCGACGGATCTATAACGGATCAAGGCCTTATTTTTTCATAATAAACACAAAATTCGTAGGCGTAAACCGGCATCCAACATATAGCAATTAGACACGAAAGGGACTTACAGAGGACATCTGTATTCTCGAGGCCTTTGGCGCTCACGAGCGTAACTTCAAGCGTTCCTTCTGGCATATTTGACCATAAAACGAGTTTAAGAAAGAAGATCCCTATATATATATATATATATATGTATGTATATGTGTGTAGTTTTGTTCAATTTTGAAGGTTGTGAGACAAATTCGGTAGTTTTGTGGAAGTGAAATAAATTTATTTCCATCTATTATTTGATATAAAAAACCCTCAAAAATGCGTATGCGTATGCATATACATTAGAGACTAATTAACGTAATTAAAATTTGTAGGTTGTAGGATAAAAATTGCTTGTCTTCAATTTTTAAATCTTATTCTTGTCCACCAATCACACACACACACATACACATAGGAGGTTTATTTTGCAAACCACGTTATTTGTACAAACCGTACAAACCTCATTCAACCAATCATAATTTTTCATTTTGTTCATTTTTTTTTGTAATTATGAAAGGTTGATTAATCATTTTTATTGTGGAGGGTGTTAATCATGGATATTATCATCTTCAATTTTAAATTTAAATAAATACATGAAACAATTTTATTAAAATTTCATTAAGTATTATATGAAACAATTTCATAACAATATATGAATCAACTTTATCAAAAAAAAGTATTATATGAAACAATTTTCACAAGAATAAACAATTTCATGAAATTTTTTCATAAGATTCAACAATGAAATCGACGGATGATGGTGGTTTGCACGATTTGTACAAATTAAGTGGTTTGCATTTGATCGCTCATATCTCTCTCTCTCTCTCTCTCTCTCTCTATATATATATATATATATATATATATATATATATATAATATAGACTTGGGATCATGTGAGACAAGTTTGTTTTTGTAAGACACGTGAAACACAATTTTTACACTTGAAACTTCACAACAAAACACTTTGAATGTAACCTTCACAATATTTTTGATGTGAAGATTCAGTTTTTTTTTTTTTTTTTTTTTACTTTCACAACATTTTGTTGTGAAGTTTCAAGTGTAAAAATCGTATCTTACGAAAACAACTTTATCTCACATGATCTCAAGTCTCTCTCTATATATATAGAGAAAAAAAATTATAAAAAAGCATATACATCATCGGGGAGAGAATGTGAACTACTTTAAAATATATAAAAATCTAATGTATCTTAATTTCATTAGTGGGACATGAACCAGAGGAATGTATTTTGGACATATTATGATTATAAGTTTGGAAACTTTATCTGATATTTATTAATGAAAATATATTGTCCAATTGTTCTGTGTTATATTTAAACATAACGATCACCCTAAAATAATGTATTCTAAATGATGGTTGATTGTCCCACAGTAGCACTTTCGCACAATAATTCTACCAAAGGGGATCCTATGGAAAAAAATTGCGGAAAATCGAACAATTACACAATATTTGCCTTATGTAACGTGTTGGGATTATTTAGTTGTCACCTCCTTTTCAGGGAGAGCTAACGTTTATTAAGTATTTTGGTACTAAATGCCCTGTCCAAGCCAATGAACTTACGCCGATGTGAAGTGTATGGCTAACCCAATAACGAAAGTTTCGTAAGGGGACTGGAGCAGACTACCGTGAGACAAAAGATCTTCTTCTAAAGAGATTCGAGATTATGCAAGATTGATCCTTTTTTGGTTATCTCTTTAACCCACTTACTCGAAATCTCACTCATCAGATTCCATTGTGGAAGATAGAATTTTGAGGAATTGTCTATATGTAACATCATAATTATTGATAGAAGATGACCAAGATTTCGTGATCCGTTACCCGCAAAACGGGCGGTCTCTCTGGGACTAGTTGGCTAGCATAGCGGGTTAAGCATCTAGCTTAATAAAAAAAAATCCAACAAATAATCAATAGTCAATAGATAAAATAGTAGTGTATATATGGCTTTCTATGGAAAGCATTACACAAAAAGCACCAGTGGTCTAGTGGTAGAATGGTACCCTGCCACGGTACAGACCCGGGTTCGATTCCCGGCTGGTGCAATCCACTTGAGCCATGATGACACGCCTACCTGATGGTTGGGTCCATCAATTCAGCTTGACTTTCAAGATTGACAACACAGCCCCTTCTGAGCTCAACTTTTTAACATTTCTGCCCCTATTTTCTTTCTTTCTCTTTCAATCGACTCCTCATCTTTGAAATTAGGACGCTGAATGGGGGAAGATCATAGACCAGTAAGTTTTAATCAGTCTCCTTCTGCTCGAATTCATCAGTTTTTCTTCCTTTTGTTTTGATTTTTGCTTTGTGCGGTGATTATAGTTGCCAAAAACGGGTTTCTGTTCTTTTTTGTATTCAATCCGGTATGAATTTGGAAAATTAGGATGAATTTCTGTATAGATGAAGGTATATATGTGTTGATCGTATGATTTTATATCAACGTGCCGATTTTGATTGTAATGGCTCGGGAGATCCTATCAGATCAGCTTGACTTTCAAGATTGACATTAAAGGCAAAGCCCTGCTGAGCTCAAGTTTTTTTTTACATTTCTACCCCTTCTATTCTTTATTTTATTTTTATATTTCATTAATAAATCTTGACTTCTTTTTGTTCTTACATAATTTTCTTTTCCCGCATCCACCTTTTATTTGTTTATCTAACAGCATCTCACGAGCTTTGAGCCGACCCTATTCAAGAAGATTCGGTTGTGTCATTGAACCTATATCTTGGGATTTCCAATCAACTAGGTAGGGTTGTCATCAAGTATCCTCTTTTGTCATAAGCTTTAATAAACCCATTTTGCTTGATGATCTTAAAACTCTCTAATGACAAACCTTTTGGAAACGGGTCTGCTTGGTTGTCAACTGACTTTATATAACCTATAAAAATTATTTCATTTGTGAGCAGTTGTCTAATGGTTTTGTGTTGTCTTCTAATACAACGACTGTTATACGTACAACTTAATGCTCTCATTATAGCCGATTGATCATGGCAATGAATACATATGCCAGGCACCGGCGATGGCCATATAGGCATGTGCAGTAAAAAGTTCAGAAATTCGAAGAAAACTTCTTCTCCTGCTTTATCCGAAACAATAAATTCTTTTTTTAACTGGACGTTTATTTTGAGATGGTGGAAGTAGATCTTGAATTTTGTTTAAATTGATGAGACCTTGGACACTTTGAGTTATTGAAACCTTTCTCCCTCAAAACGGATTGTTGGTAAACGTTTTTTACCCGGTAAGCACTTATTCAATAAGAATCTTCTCCATCACTTACCGGGCAAGATTCTAGTTCCTTACTATTTTCATCCGGAAAGGTAAGCATTTACCCGGCAAATATTTAGTAAACAACCTCTAAATTTGCCACTGTATGTAAAGGTGTTACAGTCTGGTTCAATAAGATTCATTTTAGGGTACGTTTTATACGTAGAACAGTTTGGTTTGGGCATGTTTGTAGGAGACAGTTGACAGCACCGGTGAGGAAAGTGGTGTGTGTGACGGTTGAGGGGTGAGGAGGAGTAGGCCTAGGAGAACGTGGGTCGACCAACTAAAGATGGACTTGGCAACTTTAGGCATTTCCGATGACACGACTTCTGATAGGATTTCTTGGAGGCACAGGATTAGAGGGGCCGTTCTTCTAGTAGCATCTAGTAGAGAGTGACGTCAAAGGTATTGAGAGGAGGATAGGGCTTAGTCAAATAGGCTCCTTGTAAGTTTCTACTTGTACTACATGTTTTACCTGATTTCATCGTCCGCTTGCACACACCATTGAATCGCGGTTACCTGTTTCTGTTTTATTATCTTATTGCATGCTTGCACAAACTTTTTGTGTTGTGCTCAAGGTAGGGTGTCCACGGAAAAAACCTCTCGGTCCTGGTGGTTGAGGTAAGGCATGAATACATCATACACCTTCCACACCCTATTTTCGAGTGGATTATACCGGGTTCATTTGGTTTTTCTCAAAGGCTTAGAGCAAGAGTTATGAGAGAAGGGAGGTAAAACAGTATAAACCTCATAAAACAATTTACATGTGTTGGAATCCCACATCGATTAGACTTGGATCATTTTCCCTCCATATATATTGGAACCTTCTCTATCTCCACAAGGACTCTTTTGGAGAGTAATTTAATGAATTCCACATATTAGAATACGGTATCAGAGCCAAAGTCTGCGACTCTAAGGACTCGGCACTTTGGGGTAATAGTACTCGTCTAGTCCCCTCTCGGCACTCTTGTCCATCTAGCTTCCATTGGAGGGGGCATGTTGGATTCTCACATCAGCTAGAATTGGACCATTTCTCCTCCTTATATATTGAAACATTCCTTCTCTTGGTTCTTTTGGAGAGTAATTTAATGAGGTTCCACAATATTATGTGCATGTATATCTAATCTTTATATAACGTTAATTGCAACAATTAGCAAAAGGCACCAGTGGTCTAGTGGTAGAATAGTACCCTGCCACGGTACAGACTCGGGTTCGATTCCCGGCTGGTGCAAACCCTCTTGAGCCATGATGACACGCCTACCTGATGGTTGGGTCCATCAGTTCAGCTTGACTTTCAAGATTGACATTACAGGCCCTTTCTGAGCTCAATTTTTTACATTTCTACCCCCTCTATTCTTTTTCTTTCTTCTATCTTTATATTTCATTCATAAATAAATCTTTAACTCCCTTTTGTTCTTACATTTTTGGTTCCCATAATTTTCTTTTCTCGCATTCACCTTTTATTTGTTTATGTAAGGGGCGGTTTACCTAAACATTTACCCGGTAAACATTTACCGATAAAATTCAACACTATCGCTTACTTACCGGATAAGATTTTATTTACTAAAATGCATCGTATGCAACAATTTATCCCGGTAAGCGCTAACCATGGTAAGAGTCCTCATCCACACTTACCGGGTAAGACTCTCGATTCTTGCATTCGCTCTTACCAGGTAAGATTTTTAGTTATTGACATATTCATCCTGTAAAGTAAAGTGACTTGGTAAGCGTTTGGTAAACGGCACCTAAGAGCATCTCCAAGAGTTATGCTATAATTTCTTTGAAATAAAGTATTAAAAGTCAAAATCTCTAAAAAAAATTACATTGAATTCCAACTACTTTATTTTAACATTAACTATATTATTAAAATACTCAATAATACTAGAGAGGAGACTTGAGAACCAAATTCCCGACCTGAACGGAAGTTATGGGGACATATGGCTATTGTAACTCTATCTCTATTTTCTCCTAAACTATCCATATATTCTCCTATAGAGATTGAAGAGGCGATAAACGAACAATATGGAAAAGGGAAAAAGAATACCAAAGATTAAGTGGCTTGTGATTGGTTTTGATTACACATTTGAAAGATTTTCAAACACTATAGTTTTGATTAAGGCTGTAAATGAACAGAAAGAACACGAACGGAGGCTTGTTCATTTTCGTTCGTTTAACTTAACCGAACCAACAAACGGTAAACGATCGAAAATCTTTGTGTTCGTGTTCGTTTAGAAATCATGTGTGTTCGTGTTCATTTATGTTCGTTTGTTAACATGCTAAACGAACGAACATAAACGAACAAACATAAATATTATTTGAATTCAAAGTAAATAAACAAAAGATTATATATTAAATTTAGTATATAAACGAACATAAATGAACGAACATAAACGAACGGTAAATGAGCGAACGTTCACGAACATAGATAAACAAACCAGACTCTTGTTCATGTTCGTTCGTTTAACTAAACGAACAAAAAAATTGTTCATGTCGGTTCATTTATTAAATAAATGAACTTCCCGCCGAACGGTTCACGAACCGTTTGCTGAACGTTCAGTTCGTTTATAGCCTTAGTTTTGATTGTTGAACTTTTGCAACCGGTTTTGATACACATTTGAAACATTATGAACCTTTGATTGTTTCTTAACCCACTTTCACATTTTGGTCCTAAGTGGTCTTAGTACCGATTTTCCCATCCCGAAACCAAACCGCTACCGAACTTGCATATACGATTCGGTTTTCAATCCTAGTTTTGAGTCTCATAAAAAATCGGTACCAACCGGTTCTGGACCGATCTCGTCCCCATTCAATACATTTAATAAATTATCATTTATCTCTCCTGAACATTTATTATAGATACCTCTTATTAGTGGAAAGTATTAAAATATAATAATTTATCTCCCTATTTAGGCTCAGTTTGGTTTGAAGGAATGGAATGGATTTGGGAGGATTTGCATTTCAAATCCATTTCAATCCCATGTTTGGTTTGTTGGATTGTCTGAATTTGAAATCCTAGGATTTAGTTGAAAATCTTTAAACATAAGATTTTGAAATCCCTAGGGATTTCACGGGATTTCGTAGGATGTTATGTAATAAGGTTTTAAAAAATATAAAAAATATTTGTTTTGTCATAATCGATTAATAAAAATATAATTCAATTTTTTTATAATTATTTACAATTTTTTCTATAAATTATTTATAGATAATGCAATCCAATTCCATTTCAAATCCTACAAACCAAACATACCAATAATTTCAAATCCATTTCAATCCAAATCCTTCCAAATCCAAATCCCTCCATGTAATCCAAATCCCTCTAAAACAATCTTGCAAACCAAACAGATCCTTAGAGATTTCTCTACATTTATGGGCTGTTTACCAAATGCTTACTCAAGTAAGTGACCATCAAGTTATATTACCTTACCAGATAAATATGGTAAGGACCAAGAATCTTATCTGGTAAGAATGAGACAAGGATCAAGAGTCTTACATGGCAAGTGAGGGCGACGACTTTTACCATAGTAAACGCTTACCAAGTAAATTGTTGCATACGATACCGTTTTGGTGGACTAAAATCTTACCCGATAAGTAAATGATAGTGTTAAATTTTACCGATAAGCGCTTACCGCGTAAGGGTTTGGTAAACGGCCCCTTAGAGATTTTTACAATTTCTCTATTTTAGATTTTTAGCATAGAATATACCATCGTTGTTGGAGTAAAAAAAATGCTAAAATCCTTCTTTTCTCTATTTTAACATAACTGTTGAAGATGATCTTACAACTTCCAGAACGAGGTTTTGAGAAGTTTTTCAACATAATAAGAGGTTTTTAGTCATAGGTTGTAACTGCTTGACCTGTTTTTTTAGAATTTTTTCATATTTAATTAGTTTTATCTTTATAGAATTTTATAAATGTTCCGTATTTAATCAATTTTATTTATTGTATAATCCACGTGTCAATAGATAAGTGGAATGTTTGTTCTTTCATGAGATATGGCAGGTTTTTGTCCGCATATGAACAACTCCTCCAGGTAGTTGGTGAGCACGTAGGAAGTATTAAAGTGCTTCGTACATGTACCTTTGTCTCATAGAAGCATGGGGTGTCCTTTTGTGCAAGAGGATAAGACTGATAAATCTTACTCGACAAGACTCTGATCAACTATAGAGTTGAAAGCTGAAGGCTTCTTCAACTATGGTTGAGTCTTGGTCAGATTCCACATGTATGTAGACAATCTTGATATTACCAAATCCTGCTTCAAATCATGATCATACAACATGGTAACCGGTTAATGCTTCAACCGGTTATCCGAATATTTAAATGTTTAAAACTTTCCATCTTAGGTATCAATATAAAAGTTTTGAAAGTATGTTACTTAAAATAGGAATCAAATTAGAATACGTTACTTTTTCATGCAATTTACCCTTTTTGGTAACCAAATTCTGATTTTTGAACGTTACAATAATCACTTTAAAACACAGATATCCGACCCCCATCTCTAATTTCAACTCTTTGTTTAGGGACTGTGAAGCATAGTTTTTAAACTTGGAGGACTAAAAATGCATATCAAACCTAAGAATAGGGATGATTTCTGTAAATTTTACAAGTTAAGAAAACGACCACAAATTGCAAATTTATCGTTACAGACTACAGACATGACAAATCAAAACGCAGCAAATCATTTTGGGGGAATGGCGAAGACCGTCGTATCCAAAGAGATGCCATCGGAAACCGTCACAAAGGTCACCAACTTCTTCACGAGGCTCGGCGGTGGCACCGTAATTCCGGCGAAGTACGAAGGCGAAGATGTTCACTTCGATCTGATTCGCAGCTTGCTCAAAGTTCAACATATCCATCGAGGTCGTATAACCTGCATCCTCACCGTCAAACCATACGCCTGCGTAATCTCTCTCTCTCTCTCTAGCAGTACTTTCTGTTTCGACGATAAGTTTCTGTTTGCCTTTATTATCGTATGATAGTATGGGGAGTTTTGGCTATGGAATACTTTCTGTGATTTGTGGATATCTTTGTGCAATTGAATTTGGTCAAAACATAGATTGAGTTCATATGAACATTCGAATTTACTAAAAATGGAATTGTACTTCAAATTCTATTGAAATCTCGTTTAGTTGCTCTATTTTTTGCAGATTTTTTCTAAGTGGGGCACCACTTGAGTATGAAAATATGAAGCTACGGATAATTTTACAAAATCTATCATTTGGCTATAGGTTAGTTTTTTGCTTTTTGTTAGTGAGGTATAACATATAAATCTGAAATTAAAAGCTAAAACTAAGAAAATCATGCAAATCGAGCCACGCCAGGAAGGGGTGAAAAGACCAAGTGAACCAGCACTGCTAAGTGAAGCTTGTGCTATTTTAAGGAATATATGGTGGCAACCAACAAAATAATATGGTGATACCTTGCACGGTCCATGGCGGACCTAGGATTTTTGCCTAGTGGGTGCACCTTTAGAGTGGATCAAAGGCTCGTAAAGTTGTCCGGCATGTTTTTAGCCAAATTCCACCATTTCAAAGTATTTTTTAAGTTATTTTTGGTTGATTTAGACACCGATGGACTTACGAGCCTTGATCGTTACAAAGGGCGATGCCATGGAATTGAGCCTGGATCGACTCATCAAGTTCCCATTGAAATAGGATCCACACAAGGAAAAGCACTTACCTAGTACCGGGGAGAGACATATGTAGATTGGTACAATCGGGAATCCAAACGACAATAACTAGTACCGGGGAGAGACATATGTAGATTGGTACAATCGGGAATCCAAACGACAATAACTAGTACCGGGGAGAGACATATGTAGATTGGTACAAGCGGGGGTATCATCATTTCATTTTCCCAAGTTCAATGTTAGCAAGATTAGTCAACATTTTTATGTTTTCGCGCATTAAGCTTAGGAATACGTTTATTTGCTAATATGATGGCCTCCATAGCCACAGCATGGAGGAGCAGCTCCTTAATCCGCACTACAACCAATCAAAATCTTATTGGAACTTGAGAGAGAAGTGAATTTGTGAATGCCTAACTGAGGACATTTTTTGGTTTATGTTCCTTGTGTTTTATACTATCCTGAATTTACCCTTGTTTAGCGGGTGCATCTTTCATACCTCAAAGAACTTTTCACTTGCAGAAATCAGTTGAGTGGGTACATGAGACCCCGGTCGGGACTTTGTAGGTCAGCCCTTGTTGTTTTGGAACGAAGGGGTTGCCCGTGCACCGTATGCACCATAGTGGGTCCACCCCTGTTGTTTATAACCACTTCAATCAGTTATATATCTCTGTACCTCAAGCCAATAGAGAAGATATGTATTAATGAAATCTAACTGTCCTCCTTTGAATTCGATGGATACTACAAAATCATGGTTATGGTTTCTGCAGAATGCCTATAACACCTTGCATGGAGGAGTAATTGGATCCGTAGCCGAGATTGTCGCTATAGCTTGTGCTAGAACCGTTGTCAACAAAGATAAAGAGCTTTTTCTTGGTGAATTGAGTGTCTCTTATCTCGCAGCTGCCGTTAAACAGGTATGTCTTTGAGGCAATTCTTGTTACTCCCTCTGCAATGATTCACTTTGTTAGAACTTTTCTTTTTCATGTATAAGGGCAGAATCAGTTGCAAACTTATTTTCGTAGTGAACGGGGGACAAAAGAGAGTGTGCCACAAGTCCCAAACATTCACGGTATATTCATCATGAATGGTGTAAAAACTTCATGTTCATTATTCATGATGAATGAGAACAAATGGGATATGTGTCATGCTCTCATTTATCTCTTGGTTCACAACAGAAACATGTTTGCAACTGAAACTCCCCCTTTCTCTATTATATCAAATGTAGACCCAAACCATACAATCAACATGTTGGAAACAAAAAACAAGGCAAAATATTATGCATGTATAAAATGAAAGACAACCAAATTAAAAGAATAGTCGATGCTTAGATCTCTCTCCTAAAGACGACCGTCCCATATTTGTGGAGGGTAATGAACCAATGACGATATGTCTCCCTCGATACAACTCTTTATATGTACCTTCTTAAATGATGGCATCAGTGGTAGCAATTTTTCAGCTTTGAGCCGACCCTATTCAAGAAGATTCGGTTGTCCCATTGAACCTATATCTTGGGATCTCCAATCAACTAGGTAGGGTTGTCATCAAGTATCCTCTTTTGTCATAAGCTTTAATAAACCCATTTTGCTTGATGATCTTAAAACTCTCTAATGACAAACCTTTTGGAAACGGGTCTGCTAGGTTGTCAACCGACTTTATATAATCTATAAAAAATATTTCATTTGTGAGCAGTTGTCTAATGGTTTTGTGTTGTCTTCTAATACAACGACCGTTATACGTACAACTTGCCAGGCACCGGCATTGGCCATATAGGCATGTGCTGTAAAAAGTTCCGAAATTCGAAGAAAACTTCTTCTCCTGCTTTACCCGAAACAATAAATTCTGATCCCATTGTTGATTTGGCTAAAAAAGTTCGTTTAGTAGATATGTAGGACACAACTGCACGTCTGCACCACTAAGAGTAAAAAGTTCGGTCAGCATCACTATATCCTTCTAGCACAACCGAATGTTTTCTATAGCGTAACCTATAACTTTAAGTATGACATAACTTTAGCCACGATGATAATCGGATATTAATCTCTGATAGGAGTTCCTAGAGACACAAGATTAAGGTAGCAGATTAGGGGTGGGGTCTGTTTAGCCCCCCGAGACGGGTGGGAGGGATCTGGTAAGGTAGAGACGATGGCGTACGTTAGCTAGTTGGCTGTTAGACTAGAGGTGGGGTCTTTTTAGCTTCTTTAATCCTAGGTTAGACTAGGGGTGTGTAGTCCTTCCTACCATGGCTACTGATTCAGTAGATACGGTGGCACACAATAGTAAGTTGATAACACAAGTTTGTCCTGCCAGAGTTGGTTTCGACAACTTTTCTCCTATCTCAGGTGCAGGTTTGAACCCCACTTCAATCATTTTCTTAGTTTTAGCTGTTAATTACAGGTTTTTTATGTTTCTGCAAAAAAATTGCGATAAAAGACCTCATATACGAAAAGTAAGATACCAACCAACAGACTAATGATGATCTTTTGTAAAATATCCGTAGCTTTGTTTTTTTTATAGTCAAATGATGCACCACTCGAAAAGATTCCTAGGTCTGCCTTTGCTTGGTTATGTTCTCGTGTATGTGCTTCTGTTTGTATGTTTTCTTTGCTTGATTGTTAGATTTTTGGTTGCTTCCCCTGACTAGCACAAGCTTTTTTTTGGGGGGGGGTGTTCGTCACAAAAATAGCCGCTTACTCTTCGAGGTGGAGGTCAAATTCGCCTGTATCTTCCCCCCCCCCCAAAAAAAAGAAAAAAAAACTTGGGTGTGATTTACCGGGTTTGTTGGTTTGTTTTTTTGATAGTGGAAGATTATGTAATTTTAGCTTGAAAAATGAAAATCATCCCGAAAAGAGAACATAGTTGTTGCAATTAATGTACGACATCTCAAAATGAAAATTGTTTCGGTCTTCATGAGACATTAGTACCGATTTCCCAACTTGATGTTTTCTGAATCGATGTCAATGATCGCTATGCGAACTCAAATCATACCAGAGCTGAAACTAGTTTCTTTTATCCTAGTTATGTGAGAGATCATTGATTCTAAACTGGTTTTAATTCATCGATTTCTATTCAAATTCTTTCTAATTGCCAGACAGAAGTCATCGTTGATGCATCCGTGGTAAGAAGTGGTAGGAACTTGACGATCGTTGCCATAGAGTTCAAGCTAAAGAATTCTGAACATTCGACTTCCTTGTGTCGTGCTACCTTCTATAACATGCCCGTTGCAAGCTTGTGAAGGTTCTTCACAGTTTTCTTCGGTTTAAACCGCAATCATAACGCTTTCCTGAGGTGTTGATAGAATATATATTCTCTCCGTCCCAAAATGTGTCCATATTTCTATTTTAGTTTATCACAAAACAAGTATACACTTTCAAAAGTAACCGTCTACTTCTTATTTTCTACCCTTAGTTGTTGTGAGATGGGGTAATTCATTACTAACTCTGTTTTTATGAGGAAAATTGTCATTTAATTAAAAGGTATGATAGTTACATATTTTTAAAACTGTACGTCTTTTTTAACATGGACGTTTATTTTGAGACGGTGGAAGTAGATCTTGAATTTTGTTTGAATTGACGAGCCCTATTAGACTATGAGCAGAAGGTTATTGAAGCCTTTCTCCATCAAAATGAATTGTTGGTAAGCGTTTTTTACCCGGTAAGCACTTAATAAGAATCTTCTCCATCACTTACCGGGTAAGATTCTAGTTCCTTACCATTTTCATCCGGAAAGGTAAGCACTTACCCGACAAGTATTTAGTAAACAACCTCTAAATTTGCCACTGTATATAAAGGTGTTACAGTTTGGTTCGAATAGATTCATTTTAGGGTACGTTTGATACGTAGAACAAGATATGACAAGATAGAACAAAATCTTGTTGTACCATGTTTGATGTTCGCTGCAAAGCTTCGACAAGAACTTATGTTCATTCTACATAATATGTTCCATTACATATTTGCCGAAGTGGTTGGATTCCGGTGAAAAGTGAAGTTATGGTGAGAAGCGTAAGAATAGATTTTCGTCCTTGGATCAACCTTAATTGAATGCCAACGCTAATGAGGTGCATCGAGATGCATCAGATCAATTTCTTTCTGAATCGCAATTCATGGGTGGGCATGATATTAAAAGTTATCAAGGGTTTGGATCTCTTCTTACGCTTCTCACTATAACTTTTTTTCTTACATGATCCTTAGCCTTTGCCGAAGAACCTAATGGTAATTGAGAGCAATATACGCGAACCAAAAACTAACCAATTTTAGTTTTAGACATCTTTTTTCATAAGAGCAGGGATCACATCATATGGGTTGGGTTCTCGTGAGAAGGGGAGTTAAAGTGAAAAGCGTAAGAAATGATCTCCACCATTGGATGCACATTACGATGAGATGCACGGGATCAATCCCCGTATCAAGCATAATTCATGAGTGGGTTTGAAAGTAAAGGTCATTAACGGTCCAGATCATTTTTTACGTTTTTCATCTTAACTCTCTTTCTAACACGATCATTCGCCTACATCATATTAAAATACTTTTCTTTATAAGTAAATTAGAAGTAAGAAAATAAAAATACAATATGGATACAATGTTCTAAAAGGGAGCTGTCATGGTGCAATATGACATAAAACACGTCTCCGTTGTTATGATAAAGCCTATAGCATTTCTGTAAAACATGACTCGTGCCATAATGTCTTGAGGTGTGCCATGGCATACGGTTTTTACAAGACATGGCTTTTTCAAAAAAAAAAAAAAACATTATTGTTGTATTTTTTTTTTTAAGAAAAATTAGTTTTTGTGCTTTTACATTTTTCACTTTAGATTTTACAATTTTATAGATTTACTTAAATCACATCACTCACGGTTTCATGAATTCATATACACTAGTGTTTGACATCGTGCGTTGACGATAAATTTTTTATAAATTTATTGAAATTAGTTAAATGAGTCGATTATCACATTTATATATTAAACTAATAGGAATCAATATTACCTTTGATATATGAATCTAACTTATCATTATTTAATATATATAT